TGGTGGACAAGGTGGGAGGTGTACACAGTCCGTATCCTGTCTTGAATAGCTGCATCACATCAACGACGTTTTCAAGCAAACAGATTATAGCACGGAGAGAATCGGGCACTGCAGAGCAGAGAAGACGAGAGAGAAGGCGATCTTGGGGTTGGACAACTGCCGTGTGCACGAGACGCAGCTTGCATCTTGTGGTATAAGTCTGGTGGCCTATCCCCTTGCCCAACATGCGCTACCCCACTCATGACAGCTGTTGTATGCTTGGGATGTCGCCATTACACAGTATCAGGGAAACTTTAACCAAGGTACTCCAGATTCTCGTGAGTGGGCCGCGACTTAGCCCAGAACCCCAGGTACATCAACATCCTGGCTCGAACCAGTGGATCCAACCTCTCAGTGATGTTGCCAGAGTTCACTCTTGCCATAGGCTGTGGTAGGCCCAATGCCGTCTGCTCTATAGCTTTCATGAGCGGTTAGCCATCCACCACAACAGACAACACCACGACTTCTCTCGCCATGTTGACAAGAACGCTGTGAAACTTAATCGACGTCCTGCATGGCCTGGATGTCCTGGTCTGTGAACTTTCCCTTTCCCTTGTCCTTTGCACCCTTCCTCTCAAGCAGGGCCTTGCGGTCTTTATCGAGCTTCAATTTTGTGATGGTCACCTTGCAGGGCCGAATGCCAACGTTGACAGTGGCACCTACGGGCATAAAAAAAACCTTAACAGAAATTCAATACCTTAGAGGGGATTTGGTACTTGGCTGTTTCCCAATGTAAGCAAAAAGCTGTTGCCTGCCTGCCACATAAGTAATCACAAGCTCAGCTCATAAGCTTACCATTGACCTTTTCCCGTGTTATCCTTTCCACATGGACCACCCATTTCTTCCGGTACACCTGCACAACCTTTCCCTCTCGGCCCTGCCACAGCATGAAGCTGTCTCATCATTGAGTGCACGTGCTTGACATGGACAGCTGAGAACACTAGAAATCCTTTCGTGGATGAATCAATGAATCAATCCCGAGTCCGAAGCAGAGAATTTTGCTGGCAACAGCGAGGGAGACCTTCAAATAGAGATCGCTTAAAACACGCAAGATCTGGAAATGTCAACGCCTTGGCTCTGAAAGTGGCCCCGGCTCACCTTGAAGGTCCCCCTTTCCACGCGGACTTCGTCGTCCTTTCGGATAGGCACCGCCCTGACCTGCTCACGGCGCAGCAGCACATCGGCCAATAACAGAAGGACAGATCACGGTGAGCAGCTCGCACAACAGAGATCCCGCTGCACCACTGTACAGTGGGCTGCTGGCTTGAAATCTGCCCCCAATCAGATGTTTCGGACATCTACCCACCCCGTATTTGTTGGTCAGCTCCGCCGACAACGGTGCGCTCATCAGCACCCGGCGCACATGCGACGGGGCGGTGAAATGCCTCTTCAGAACCGCAAGACACAAGTTCGATGTCAGGGCGCCGCCAGGGACAAAGAATCTCTGCACGCGGCTTGCGCGGCGCGCAGCAGCCAGACAGATTCGGCCGAGGCTCACCTTCCTGCACTTCCTGCGCGAGGAGCTCACTGTCGGGTTGTACTTCATCGTGGCGTTGCGCTCGCGAGGGCAGGCCGCCGGGCACACAGCCGCTGCGCCACTGGGGCCAACACCAACACCCCCAAAATTGAACAAAATCGTAGTGCATCGGAAGTTTCAATGTCGCACAAGCCGTATGTCACTGCCCACTTGTGCCTTCACCAGCAGGCAGGCAGGCAGCTCCGGAAAGCCAACGCTGTTGGTTCCTGCGCTACGTTGCGCTGGACTGGGGCAGGGCACCGCGGGCCTGGCGGAAGCACAGCACCGGTTTCAAGCGTGTGGTTCTGTCCATCGACGGACGCGAGGGTCTTTCGTTCCTCCTCGACGCGCAACATCGAAGAGGCGACGGTGACAGCCACGTCGTCGCCCACGGCGTTTTCAGGCAGCCATGACTGCCAAGCCGCAAGCCAGGGTCCCTCCGCTTGTGGCGGGACCCGTCCCGTTGAGGGACATCAGGGATTGGGCGCGATCCCGCCTTGTGGACATTGTGGATTCAATGGTTGGCGCGAAGGCGATCATCTTCGACCCTGAGATTGCTGGGACGTTGGGGCTCATAATCCCCGGTGCTGTGTTGGCGGAGCACGGCGTCGAGCAGATGTTCATATTGGGAGAGAACATCGACGAGCCCAAAGCAAGGAACATTATGTACTTGGTGGGTGAGTTTGCTTCGGGACAATCGACTCCGCTTATGCTCAACAGGCATGCACACCAGGTCGCCACATGTCTTGGGAACAGGGTGGATTGCCTCTCTGCTTCCGAGCATTGCCACTCGCTGAGGAAAGTTGAAAATTTGCAGATGTCAATGCTAGTTGCTTGGGGATCCATTGTTTGTGCATTGTGTCATGGAGAGTGGTTATTAGTTGTTAACTGGCCGTTCAGTGCTTGGATGCAGGCCAGAGCAAACATCCTGAACGCGCAGAGGATTGCTACTCAAATTAAGGCGTACACACGGCTGCGTCATCCACACGAGTATTTTGTGTCTTTCATACCAAGGTGCACGTGTTTGTGTGAGAAGGTGAGTGCAGATCTGTGTGGTTTGAACCTGGCGCCTGACATTTACCCTTTGTTTGTTCAGAGCAGCAGGCCTTCGCATTGAATCGGGAGTATAACAATGACGCACAGGCACCACGACGTGCATTAGATCATACCTTGCCAGTTGCTTTGCTCAAGCTGTGGTTCTAAACACTTCTCAGGTGCGATTGACAAAGTGCCTCAGCTGGACTGGGTGCATCTTGGGGTTGTGTGGCACCTCTGATCTCACAGGGAATGGCCTCATCTGTGATACTGTTAACTGCACTTGGCCACAGCTTGTCACTGGGTTGGTGCTAATTTTCTCTGTGGCAGATCATTGAGGAAGAGGGTGTGAAAGGAGATGCAACACTCATCGAGTATCCACTTGAGTTTGTTCCCTTTGATGATGATGTGATCTCCTTAGAGTTGGAGCATTCTTTTCGAGAGACCTCTGTGGAAGGTGACACAACGTCCTTGTATATCATGGCCCGGGCCCTTGCCCACCTTCAGTCATCTTTTGGACCCATTCCAAGGGTCACAGGCAAAGGAGCTGCTGCAGAAGCTGTCAAGAACATATTCATGAAAGCAAGGATTGAAATGGGGCTCAAGGATACAGAAGAGGGCAAGATTAAGAGGCTCATTCTCATCGACCGTGCCGTTGATTTGATCACACCACTGGTGACACAAGTTACTTATGAAGGCATCGTGGACGAGATGCTGGGCATTAAGAACAATGTTGTGACAGTCGAGGTATGCTGAGCGATTTTGAGTCTTGTGAGTTTGAGCAAAGCTTTTGCAGCCTCCATGAAGTGCGTCCAAGAAGTCCAGGGTTGCCTTGAATGTACAGATTAATCGCGATTTGTTGCTCGCTTAGCAAGCAAAGTATGGAACAGAAGACTGATGGCCAAGTTTGCTGGGTTGCACTGAGGTGTTGTGGTTTGTACATCACCGTACTCTGCACTACACCTGTAAACAATCGAATGCCTGCATTCTCCCTGTCAAGAATTGTTTCCAACTCTCTGTGAGACGTTTGATGGTGTGTGTTGCACCCACCAGTCTGTTGGACTTTTGGAAGGTGAGGAAATGATCGGGAAACAGAGAGTGTGTGTTGAAGCCTGCACATGAACTGGACAGTGTTGGTGAATGCTAACTGAACGAATGTTTCCCTATTAAACGCTTCTGTGGAGCTGGCAACAGATTGAAATCTACAGTCTTCCTCTCTTGATGGCAACAATGGCAAGGGAATGGGCTGAGATCTTTGGGGTTACATGTGCGGCGCAGGTTGCGACACGAGCAGGTCCATCAGAACCCAAGAAGTATGTGCTGAACAGTGCAGACTCCCTTCATGCTGAAATGCGTGATGTGCCCTGGCCGCATGCAGCTCCGCGTATTCGAGAATGGGCTCAAAAAATGAAATCAGACTGGCGAGAACTCAATGAGGATGCGTCCAGCAAGACTGTCTCAGAGATACGAGATTTCACCAACCGTCTCATGCAGCTCAATTTGGCAGAGATGCACTCAAACATATCTGATCCTGTTATGAAGGTGGTTCCAACTAGCAAGTTCCAGAGCAGGTTGCAAATTGAACGACAGGTGAGCCCACTGCTTGAGTCCTGTGCTCCCTCATTTGCAGCACTTTGACCCTCACCAATGTGTGCACGAAATGTCCACCTCATTCACCGCAATCACCAACCACTTCATTGGCATGCTGAAGCCACGTCTGCTTGCACAAAGCAATAACAGTTGAGATTGCTCCAGTTGTTGAATCTTGCTGCTTTTCTTTGTAAGACTATGCCTCCAGGAGACTGCTACTGTTGAGAAGCCTGGCGTGGTGTTTTGGCCTGCTATGGTGCATTGGAACACTGTTGGCAGCATGGCACCAGCATCGTGCTTACAATTGTGTATTGTGTGGCACTGTGAACTGCTTTGATACTTGTCTGCTGTGGTGAAGCCATGATGGCACTGAACTGCGCTATGCAGGTAATCGAGTATGGAAGTTTGGAAGAAGGGTGTCGACATGTCGAGGATCTGCTTTTTCGGGGAGGTGACATGATGCAAATTTTGCGCCTGATGTGCCTCTTGTCTGTGACAAACAATGGCCTTCCCAAGAAATCTTGCGACAACCTGAGGCGTGCATTCCTTCTGACGTTCGGCTATGAAAACCTGGTGCTCCTCAATCACCTGGAGTCTGCAGGGATGCTGACCCTTAGGGCAGAAAACCGCAATCCTTTTCCTTCAATCAGGAAAGCATTCAGCTTGGCGATAGACATTGATGCGGAGACAGGAGGCGACACAGGTGCAAGTGCAGTGGCCAAGGACATCGGGTACATATACTGGGGCTATGCACCGCTGAGCGTTCGTATCGTTGAGCTGGCCCTGAAGCAGCCCCGCCCAAAGCCCGCAAGCAAGGAAACGGATTCTAGTCAGTCAACCCCTTCAGCTCCCTGGCGTGGAAGGGGGGCTGATGGCCTGAGCCTGCTGCCAGGTCCACATTTTGACGTTGCATTGGGAGAGCACAGTCAGCATGGTGGTGAAAGGAGCAAGGGTCCAATTGGGAGGGAAGGGCCGGAAGTGGTCATGGTCGCATTCCTTGGGGGTGTGACTTTCTCGGAGATCTCAGCCCTGAGATTTCTGAGCAGACTGCCCAACTCCAACGTGAAGTTCCTGATTGCAACGACGAGGATATTAAATGGGAACAGCCTGCTTCAAACGTTTCAGGAGCAGAAAGTGGACGACTTGATGAAACGGGCAAGGGGAATGTTGTAAGGCCATTTGCTCTCATGTGTGGGACCAGACAGTTGCAAAATGGCGCACATTGGAGCAACCTCTTTGTGTAGAATAGTTGGGCACTTCAAACGTGCGGCATCAAAAGGTATGTCCGAAAAATTGCCAACACAAAAGCACACCAACGATGGATCGCTCACAAGCAAGCCAACCAGCATATACTCGGCCGAGTACCACTACCCGCGGGCAGTGGCTCCCGTACTCTGATATGGAGGTTGGGTACGCAGACGCTGCAAGCACGAGCTGTTTGGGGCGCTTTCCGGTCAGCAAGCAGTTGGAATTGCTTCACTGTGCAAAGCGACAGCAACTGTCCAACAGGGCAACAGGCAACGGGTGCGCCGACAGAGGAATTGCTGCGTCCCAGCAACGAAATGCTCAATTGGATATGAATGCGGAGTTGGGCAGGTTGTATGGAATCTTCGAAAAAACATTCTACCGCATGCGCAAAACAGTGCTCCCTCTGAGAGTTGAACTCAGGACCTCCCGCTTACTAAACGGGTGCTCTAACCAACTGAGCTAAAGGAGCTCGTCAGAGCATTTGGCCTTTTGGTATATATGGTTGATGTTGCTGGGAACACACTGGAGACAAGACGTGACATCATGGAAGCAATCAACTATAGGGGTTGGGTTTGGGGTTTGGAGGTGGCAGTTGGGGTGGGAGTGGGGTTGGAAGGGGGGGGGTGAAGTAGGGGTTGGGGCCTGGGAGGGGTGGCCAGGCCTGGGAGTGAATAGGAGATTCGGCACCTTGTTGCAATCCTCCCCTTGACCAGAGCACCTCCTGTGGTGTTGTTTCCAGGGTGGCCACAGCAAGTTTGAGCCAACACACAATTGACCATGCTGTCCAGCGACCACACTCAGTGTCTCCAAACATGCACGACATTTGGCCATTGTGTGCCAAAAGAGAGAATCTATGAGCGTCTCCCATGGTTGCTGTCCGATTCTGTGCTCTGTGTAGATCCGCTCTGCAATGGGGCGCCTCTGTGCACAAGGCGAAGCAGCACAAAAGCCAGAAGAACAGGCGTGGGCGCATTGGGCGGCTCCATCCCCTGAAAGCCACTTCCTCTGCGGGATGGCAGGCACTCAGGGACAAAAATGCGCTGCTGTTGACCGCTGTCTCGGCACGACGACCATTAAGGAGGATGCTGGTGCACAACTGACAAGCAGCCATCAGTGCACAGCCGAGGTGCGCTGAACTTGGCAGGCTGCAGCACAACGCCTTCCAGTCCCGCTGCGAGGCGCCCGAGGTCAAAAACTGCGGACGCTCAAAGTCAGCACTGGTTCCGGTGTCTGATCGTTCTCTTGAGTGGCGAGCACCCGAGGGCGGCGCCCAGGAGGCCGCGCTGGGCCGCCGGGAAACGCTCACGGAGTCCAGGGCAACAACTGTGATCCGTGAAGGTCTTGTGCCCGCCGCATCCGACCAACGACACCCGAAGACGTTGGCTGTCCTTGACCCGTGGCGTGAGCGGTCAGAGGCGTGGTTGTGTTCGCCCGATAGGGCATTTGAGCCTGCTGACTAATCGGCCTGGTACGTCCGGGCGGAGTGCGGTGCGGTGCCCATTGGCGCCGTTGGACCTGGGATTGAAGCCAGGGGCGGCAGGCATGCTTGCGCCGTGCTTTCAGCGCAGCCTCGGGTGCCCAGCTCGCCTAACGCTGCGGCCCATCCAGTCCGGAGTCCAGCAAGCAGGCCTCCCGGGGATTGGTTTGGTCGCGGCCGGGGCCCGCCAACGTTCTGCAAGGGTGGGCTGGAAGACACCCGATGGAGGATTGGAGGCTGAGGGACGTGAAGAATTGCAAGTTGATTCAAGGATGGCTGGCTGCTTTGGCGCAGAGCGTCCTGGTGGTGCTGGTGTTCTCAGTGCTCATGTGGAAGAGGTAGGATCGTGCCATTGTCAGGGCGTGTTCGGGCGATCCTGCGGCGCCACTCTCACTGTTCGGAAGGCTTGTACCGAGAAAGCCGTGTAGCTGGCAGGGATTGGCGATAGAAGAGACACTGCTTTGGTATCGAATCAATGGGCCACACTGCCGCGCAGAGTCCTGGACTGGAGTTCAGTGGGTTGTGTTGGCGGCACGCGCACCCCCTGTGCGTCTGTGCTGGTGCGTAGACTACAGTGTGCGGGCTCTCTGGAACTCACCACTTCGACTGTGTTTGCACCCCGCAAATGTGGGTAATAGCCTACTTCCAAATTGCGGACAGCTTGCTTGTTTGTCTGCTGGCTCAAGAACCGCCGGATGCAGCAGCATGAATGTCATCCATTGGTTGTTGGCAGGCACATTGAACAACCCCGACGGCCATGGAGGATTTGGATCTTCGACGTTGGAAAACAAGGCAAGTACAGACACCGATTGCACATTGACTGTGCAGAGTGCTGCAACTTTACATAAGGGGCAACCAACGACAGCACCAGTGTCCGCCGAGCTTGCAGTCATTTTTCACTGCCAAACAGCTCCTTTCAACCCTGCAAGTCTTCTGACATACAAAGTTTGCAAGGAAGCAAGTTTTGATTTTCTTCCACCATCGGTTGGCAGGAATCAATTCCCATGGTTTTTGCAGAGACAGTGTAGAATGTGCGATGGGTAGGGCTCTGTGCCTCGCTGCTGCTTCTGTCTGCATGTGTGACCACTTCTTGTGCGTATCGAATGTGCAATTCCTTGTTGGTAGGCCTCAAGGCTGCTTGTTGCGGTGACTGCACATTGTCAATGAACAGTGGCACAGCAATGGGAGCCAGGCTAGCCTGGCACAATATTGTGTGCTGGTGTGCATCAATTCAGACATAAGGTCTGCCACACGGTCCGTGAAGTATTGCTTTCCTTCCCTAGTGCTTTGATTGCAGAAGTGAGAAGTTTAAATCACCTTGCCACATTTGTCCCACTGGTGGCTTGGATCGCTGCCTCATTGGCAAGCTTCCTCGTTGGCAAGCTTCCCTCGAAATTTGCCAATGGAGACTTGCAGAATAGAGATACACAAGATCCAGCAAAGTTCCTCGGGGAAAGGTCCATGTGCGAATTCGCTCCCTCACTTCAGGGAGGCAAAAAGCCAGATGGTGAACCTATTGGAAGCTTAGAGGCAAAGGACAGACCCCCCATCCCCACCCGCACACATGCTTGCACAGCCTGCTCCCCCGTTGCTTGCATAGCCTGCTTTCATTCACAGATCACTCCCTTGTCCCAGCCAAGTTTTTGAATGCGTTCTTTGCAGGTGATTGATGGTGCCTGATGGATGTTTGTGCATTGCAGGTGCTGCCTCATTGTTTGTTTATATCTTTAATATTTTCCTCAGCATGGCGGCTTCCATGGACGCCGCGAACACGAGCGAGTGCTCTTGGTACTTCGTTGTGTATGTGATAGACAACACTTTGGGGGTTGCGCTCGCCCTGACATTCCATTACTGTTTCGTTAAGTATGCGGTTAGCAGGCGGAGACCAAGTGTGTCCTGGGTGCCCTGCCTGCATGATGCACTTCTCCTCTCATCAGAAAGAAGCGATCAGGTTGTTCAACGTGCAGGGCCCTGGGAAATAGTGGCAGCGTGTGGTTACTATGGCAACCCCCCATCGTGCTGTTGGTGGGCAATACAGTTGTCGGAATTTCTTCTTGCGGTATTGCTGTCAAGGTGCGTAACCGGGAGCATCGTCTTTCTCTGCAAATCTTATGGTCTGAAGCAGACGGCGGCGCTCATCGACCGATGGTTCCGGGGGCACCCTGTGGCACTGTTGTTCACCGTGATAATATTCATACCATTGGTGGCTAACGTGGGGCAGGCACTGATCAGGGATGCGGTGCTGAAGAGCAGACTACTGTTGCACACTTTCTCTGGTGAAATGGTTAGGCGTGTTAGTTTGGGACGGGGAGCCCTTCTATCGAGTCCCCATGAGGATGCCAAATCAGTGGAGAACCATGAGAGCCCAAGGTTGTGATTCTGGGGTTGGATGGACCACATTGTGGGGCTGGCTGCCCCAATTTTTTTCCACACCGTGAGGAAAGCCGCTGGCGGCCACTTTTTTCATTTCATTTCCATTGTTTCTGTGCGCTGAGGAGATGTGGCGTTCGAGCCTCACTATTGCCTTGCCAGTCATGTATTTAATTTAGTTTCACTTTCGCACTGCTGGGATTCGGAGCTTGGGCTGGTGCTGCTTCCGTTTCCTACAATGTGTGCCGTGTCCCAATGTCTGTCAATGAGCAGGATGGGCCTTGCGCATCGTCGCCGACAACCCAATCAAAGGCAGCGCCTGCACGTCTTGTGGCAGAAAAGCCATGGTGCTGCAGCTGCCAGGGAGAGTTGACACTGCTGCTGTTACAGCTTCTGAGGTGTGGCATTCTCAGCTCATGATAGATGTGGCCAACTGCTCCTGTGCAGCATGCCACGAAGGGCTGCTTCAGAGTAACGCCTGCTGTGGTCAAGCCTGACTTCTTTTGTGCAATCGCCCCATGCACAGATGTTTGTGCGTTGCCCCGTGCCGGCAACTTGGGCATGCTTTCGTATCCTGATGAATGCAGGTCAATAGAGCGCTTGCCTTGTGTCCGTAGGGCTCGAGCAACGGGTGACATTTGTCCACAAAACGACACAGTCGAATACTGGCACCGGTTGCTGCACCAAACGTGGCATTGCCTCCATACAATTGGGCACGCATCCCGCGCCTGTGCTGGCCGCAGATCTTGCAACGCTCCTTCAGCAGCATTTGAACGGACCAAATTGTAACAACAACACATCTCCTGCATCTCGCATCGTGAGGTCGTATTGTGTGTGGGCCGTTGCGGCTTTCCTTATTCCTATTCTCACTCACACCCTACCTATGCAGCATCCAGTTTGCGGCATTTTTAGCAATGCAAGCTTTGCTTCTCCTCTCAGTCGTTCCCTCATCTTGTAATTATTCTGGAAATAACTACTCTTTATGCCAGCCCAAATGCCGGGAAGTAGCACCGTGAATCCTGTCCCTCCAGTTGCTAGGCTGGCTGATTTACATGGCCTCTGAGTAGCCAATAGCTGTTCTGCTTGCCACCAAAACGCCTCAGATTTCCCAACTTGAGTTGAACGTCTGAAGTGTCCAGCATGTGCGAGCGACAACAACCATAGGGTGGATTCAAAGCCAAGCATTCCTAATGCATGCGAATATCTAACCGCTGCCATTAGCTAAATTTCTCACCCTGCATATCTGAGACCACAGGCAACAACATCACTTCCTCATTGGGCAACACCAGAAGGTGAAGACGGCCCCAGCTTGCCAGCTGCATAATGGTGCGGACTTCCTACGCTGTCACTTTCATATCTAAGCAGATCAGAGCAAATGGATAGCTCGCAGTCTCGATGGCCATCGTCTGGGCTGCTCACCCCACTGATTAGGGGCGCCTCCTCTCCATGCAATGTGTTTCCGAGGCGATGCCACTTTTTCTTGCGCTTCAAAACGCCATCAACAATGCATGCCATGGTTATGTTCACCAGCAATGGGTAGAACACCATGACGAAGAACAGCAGTGCCCGGGGGTGGCCATCGAATCTGCCGTCCACAGCCCGAGCCACGTGCACCAAAAGAACGTCTTTCATTAGCAGGTCGAAAGAACCTGAGACACACCTTGCCAGTAGCACAGCACCCACCCACTCTGACACTTGGATGCCCCACCTCCTCAAGCTTGGTGGTTCACCATAAAAGCCACATAGGGATATAGCTTCCAACACGCCCCACCGCTTTCCACTGATGCCCTCATCAAGTTCATGGTCCTCTGACCTCCGCCTGTCCCTCCTTGCCTTCTTTGCAATCCCCACAAGCGTCTTGTGGATGATGATCGTGGTTGTGGTCCCCAGAGCTTGGTCGATGTTATAAATAGCAAAGTAAAAGCTACATTGCGACGTCTCTGTGTTGTCCATTGACACCAACAGAGATATGGTCAAATTTGCAAAGTGGCAGGCGAGGGCGGACACCCCTTGCTTTCCTACATCCAAGGCCCACACAAAGAGTGGCCTTTGTGGTTTCTCTCGATGCCTGCATCGTCACAGAACAATGCTGCAGTTAAACGTGATTGCTTTTGTGGACTGGCACCACCCCTGATGAATCAGCACTTAGCAGTGGGACGACGATGTTATAAAAAGTCTACAAGTACTGCTGCATAACCCTTAGGAACGGATTGCACTGTGCAGGATATTGGCAAGGACAGGACTTTCAGTCTCAGTGCTTGATATGTTTGTCTGCTCCCTGGAGGATCAGCAGTCAGATCACCAGCTATAGTAATTGTGCATGTTTTAAAGTCCTTGCTTGCAGTCGCCACAGTCAACAAATGATACTCAGGATCTGGCTCATGATACCACAGTTCAGCACCTTGGGCAGGGTGCCAGATGCGCCCCTATTCCAAGTACTGCAGGCAGTTTTCTAACGTAGGAAAAATACAAGACAACACTTTGATGTTTTCTTTCGACTGATGTGGCAGGCAGCAGCTGATGATCTTATTGGAGTGTACGTTCCCACACTACAGGCCTCTGCAGGCGTCGTGATGCACAACTCAGCACCCATGCTCTTGGGCAAAGCAACATTCTGATGACACCTGTCGATCCATCTGGATCTTACACACCTCCAGATTCCCATATATAAGGCTTCAGTCTGTTCCATTCCTTTATTTTTCTAACTGGCGATTTGACAGAGCCCTTGTGAGGCCCTCATCGTCACTGCAACCTATCCAGACTGCCCGTGCAGTGGACAGTCTGCAACACACCGCATTCCACAAGACGAATCCACAGGCCCGCCATATCTGCCATCCCCTTTGTGGAGCGGAATGCGGGCGGATAATTGAGTTCCAGGTGAGCAGCAGCAGCGCTTGGATTGCCGCTTAGCGGGCCGCGCGATCTGTGTCCAATGGTCGGCACAATTTCCCGTTCCCATCCCTTGGGCTTCGCAAACCGCCCATCGGGCGCCGCTCACCCAATCAGAAGTTCCCTTCGTTTCAACCAAAGCGTCTGTCTGGAAGGGCGATGTTGGACTCAATGCCAGACATGTTTCGGCATGCAAGGCACTGCGAAGGCAAGAACTTGCCGCGACGATGGAGCTCAGCAAACGTCTCGAATTGTGACCCAACACCCATCGACAGTCGGCCATTTTGTCCCCAGCCCGCATTCCCCAAGACGAAGGGACGCGAAGAAGCAGGCGCGAGGCCCGGCGTACGTCACCTCGGACGTCGGCCGCGTACCTCTTGTAAAGCAGGGCGCAAATGACGAGCAGCAGCAGGCAGCCCTGGGCGGCTATGGCTATCGACCCGGCCAGTAGCTTGCACTCCTCCACCCCTTCGCCATGATCAGCAGCCATCTTCAGGCGCTTGAATCGAGCGCCAAGGCGTGGCGCGGGAGCCCTCCGCGGGGTTGGGCGCCAGACTGTCTCCCCGGGACCGGGAGGTTGTGCCCAGCCTTCCTTCGTTGGCGCGTTGCAGGATCGGGGCGCTGCACATTCGCTGCGCGTGGGTGGCCACCGGCTGGTGACCAGTGCTGTTGCGACCTGACTGCAGCGGTGCCCAGGGCCGCGACAGTGGGCGTTGCCGGCAGCCAACGAGCAGGATCACCGCTGACATTCGGCTGAGCCCCATCGCCGGCACACAGGGAGGGCACATCACGGTCGGCCCGGCGGGGCCCAGGCGAACTTAAAGCGATGGGCCTTAAGGCCTTGAGTGCGATGATTGGGCCTGGTGCTGGCTTGCTGAGAGCTGGCTGGGACGGCAACCGCGGCGCACGGTACTTAGCGCAGCCCGTGAGAGAATTTGAGCGAAACCGGCGGGGGGACAAGTTGCTCGTGGTGTGCAACTCAAAACTCCTTCGACGCATAATGCCTACCCGCCCACACAACGAGCCACCACGTTGCAGTGCGCTGACGAAGGCACTCAGGGGTGGCGGCCGCTGACTGGGGAGCGTGGGCTCGAGTACGCGGCAACGGTTCACAGCCGGGCAAAGGGACGACAGGAATTCTGTATCTTGTATGTGGTCCGTTCATCAATGTCCTTAATGATATTCCCAGTGCCTTGCCACCTGTTTGTGCATCCAGTTGTTTATAATAATACCCAATCAGTTCTGATTCCAGCAGTGTGGTGCACCCAGCGCGACCAGGATCTTGCAACTGGGTGCCATTAGGAGAGCGAAGGCATGCATTAAACTGGAGCTGTGTTGATAATGGCGTCGCGCTTGCTCCTCATGGCACGCGATGTACCACGTCACAAGCTCGAGTAGGGCACTATAATAGCCTATAATTAACAGGAAAGTGTTCCTGGCAATTGTCACTAACCAAGCAGGAGATGGGACGTACTTTACCCCCAAGCACCCCAGGTTCGCGAAACCTAACTGAAGTTCCAAGCTTGGCAAGTTTAGCTCCCGTTTCTCGGAGTGATGAGCGCTTGACTTGCACCAATATGAAGAGTGCCCCCAGGGTGGTGAGGAGTGTCGGCGTGCTGCGGTTGAGATGCAGGGCAGTGTCTCAACAAACTATCAATAGGCCTTA